TGACCGGTACGTTACCGAAGCTACATTGGACGTGCATGCGTCAGAAATCCGGCCCATCTAACACTGGGTGGCAACAGTCGCTTCAGAAAGGGCAAGCGCACGTCTGTGTACTGCCCGACAAAACGCGTTGTAACTTTTTTACTTACTGGAATTTCAAAAACGGTTTTAGGACAATATTCTTGAAGGTTCAAACTGTCGAAAAATGCATTAAAAAAACGATTTTTTGAAACCGACAAACGTATATGCCCCTTTAAATAAAATCTTTGCTGCTGGTCTAACTGTGAATCCTGAGAAGTGTGAATTTTATCGTCCACAAATTCGTTATTTGGGATTTATAGTACATAAAGACGGCTTAACCGTCGATCCAGAAAAGGCACGACTAATTGTAGAATATCCTGCCCCGCGTAATCTGAAACAATTACATAGATTTTTGGGCATGTCGTCCTGGTATCGGCGTTTTATCCCGTAATTCGCTACCGTTAGCGAACCGCTTACGCGATTATTACGGAAAAATCAGCGCTGGGCGGGGGGGAGGGGGCGAACAAAGTCACGCGTTCGAACAGATTCGTGCAAAATTGGTATCCGCGCCGACATTATCGTGCCCTGATTTTAATATTCCTTTCGTTTTGTAAACCGACGCTAGTTATGTTGGTATCGGTGCCGTCCTAACGCAAACGATCGATGGCTTAAAAAATATTATCGCTTTCGCAAGTCGCGCGCTGTCGGATCCCGAAAAGAAATACTCTGTTACCGAACAAGAGTGTTTGGCGGTTGTGTGGGCTATACAAAAATTTCGACCATATTTGGAGGCTTATAGATTTACGGTAATAACCGATCACAGTAATCTGCGTCGGCTTCACCATTTAAAAAATCCGACTGGCAGATTGGCGCATTGAGCGTTAGAATTATTAGAGTACGATTATAAGATCGTGCACCGCAAGGGCGCTTTACATCATGTGCCGGATGCGTTATCGCGAGCTTTTGAGAATGACATCAGAAATGACGAGAATATTGTCGTTTTATTGACAGTTGCCGCTGATGCCGAAATACCGGATGATATCGGCGACCCTTGGTATCGTAAGTGCTTTCGTGAGGTTTCGGAGAGGGCTAAGCTGTTTGCCGATTGGAGAATAGTCGATGGACAATTGCATTATTTAAGTCCAAGGGCCACTACCTTGGACGTGATAGAGAATCTCGATCGCTGGAAACTGATACTGCCGTGTGAGAGGAGGGGGAAGCTTTAAACGAGTCGCATGATGACCTTCAGGCGGGTCATCTAGGCATTGATAAAACGTATCAGCGTTTAACAGTCGCGTATTATTGACCTAATATGTTTAAGGATATAGCGATGTATATCCGCGTGTGTGACACTTATCAGCGTACCAAAGTGGAACAGGCTAGTCCCGCGGGACTCATGGGTCGTAGGATCACAGAGGCTCTGTGGACAGTAGTTGCCGCCGACATTATGGGACCTTTTCCGCGTAGTAAATCAGGTTTCGCGTACGTCCTCATGATACAGGACTTATTTACAAAATGGGTTGAGTGTCGTGCCTTGAGAGCCGCGAATGGGAAGTTGATATGCGAGGCAATAGAAGATCTTGTTATCTCGCGCTGGGGGGTACACCGAGATTTTTGCTCATGGATAACGGCACGGAATTTATTAATAAGACGTTGCAATCATTCGCCGAAGAGCGTGGCATTATTCTCACTACCGTTCAACCGTACACTGTTAGAAATGTTCTTAAATTTCGTTAACTTTTAATGTACATTGGTGAATGAAGTTTAATTTCTCTGTAACTGAAAGGATTATTAATGCACATGTTAATGAAATTTAAATTTACAATATAATATACTTTTTATTTACGGATATAAATGACATTTAATTAATCGTAATTGAAATAACTATTAATGTACATATTAATGAAATTTAATGTACTTTTACATTTACGAATATTAATAATATTTTAATTGAGCCTAATACTATTAACGCTTAATGTTTAATACATTTACGTTTCTTACATGTCATTAACGTAAATTACTTTTCAGTTACAGATCTCGTACTTTTCATTAACGTGTAAATTAATTTCTACAATAATGTGTTCATTAATTTCAATACACACGTTCATCACATTTAAGACTACTGTAATTTAGTTTTTATTTACATCATTCATTACATTTAATTTCGTGCATAACCACATGCTTCCTTTACATGTTAATTAAAATTCATTGAGAAATTTCTAACAGTGTATCACCCGCAGGCGAATCCGGTCGAAAGAGTGAATCGAGAATCATCGTCTTGATGATCGTAGCTTTCCTCGATCGAGATCATCGCGAATGAGACGTCCATTTGAAGGATTTTCGTTTTGCGTACAATACCGCCTATCATTCGTCGGTCGGCACTTCACCGGCTTTCCTGAATTTAGATCGCGAATTGGAACCGGCATATTCGTTACAACAGTGGTGTCAGGGGGCGACTGGAGTAGAGCCGCGAAACCCTGCGAAGTGGGAGGAGCGTATGCGGACGTTGCAATCGCTGCATCAGCGGGTTAGCGATAACCCCGATCAGGCCCATCAGCAGCAGGCAAAATACTATAACTTGCGCAGACGCGATCGGACCTTTAGAGTCGGAGATCTAGTTTTGAGACGACAACACACCTTATTGTCGACGGTCCATAATGTCGCCGCCAAGCTATCGCCGAAATTCCAAAGA